ACAGGCGTACACATATAAACACATACATACGCACATGCACACCGGTGCTTATAAAAATAAGTCAATACACGCGTAACCTGCATAAAGAAACATTTACAAACGCACATATTTATACATATATGTAAATACATATATGTAACACATACACGGACTCGTACACACTCGCACATTAACCTGAGCATTAATATATAAAATTAAGAGATAATTGTGATATTGTGTGGAGAAATGATTATAAAACACATACAAAAATTATTCGATGCCTTGATATTTTACTTTAAGATTTCTGATTAATTTTCTGAATCTGATTTGGTGATATTTATCTAATTTGTAAACTTTTTGCAAAGCGTACAAATACGGATATTTTTTAAACACTATCTAGTATTATATATTACTAGAATTATTTTGCAACACGCTCAAGTATTAACAGTATTTAATATTGTGGAAATTATCGCTAACATTTTTGTCGACTTTTACAAAATCTACATTTCGTTCAATTTCGCAAACCAATCAATGAAATTTGAATAGGCAAATTTGTTTGTAAAATACTTTGACACCCACCCCCAATTCATGGATTTAATAATTTCTTTAATTTCATACAAATTTTATAGAGCTTCATGGTAAACAATATTCTTCAAGAAAATTTCTGCTTTTTCTATATAACAACGAAGAATTAATTACTTACTCTTGAGCATGCAACATACAACTGGCCATGTGTAAATATTTCTTTCTGGAAAAAATTCCAGAAGCATTTGGCCTTGTGATTTGTTTATAGTTCTCTCAAACACATGGCGAACTGGAAACTGGATTCTTGTATATAAAAATTTAAAGAAAAATTTAAAAACAATATTGCATTTTTATTAACTCTTTGTCATTTTAATGATTATATATTTTTTTTAAAATGGGAGTATTTTCTATGTTAAATAATAAAAAAAAAAGTTTTCAAAATAATTAATGAATTGAAAATTCATAGTATTAAGCTACGCACCATAGTAAAACCAACTGATATTTGGACAACCTTACCTGTTTGTATTTCTGCACAATATTTGGTTTCAATCGGTCAATGTATGTCTATTTTAAAAGGCGTGACATACGGACAGACTATCTGACTCACAGAATGTTATATATAGATTGTTAGATATAGATTTCTAAATATATCAAGTCCTTAGTACAATACTTTTGCATATTTCAACTAAGACTTCGTCAAAACACCATCGGCATCGATCATGGCTAAAATATATTTTATATAGCTTTCGATAAGTCTTCTGCAGTTCTGGGTCGTTATTTTCGACCATTCTTTAATGCAGACTTATTTCACACTGTTCCGACATTTTAGCTTCCATTTATGAACAGCAGTTCTCAATTCAGACCTGAAAGGTACGATTGGATTTAAGTCAGCTGATTGAAAAGGCCATTCGATTGTCTTGACATTGTTCTTTTTAAGCAAATCTGAGCTGGTTTTTCAGAGTCTGTTTCAGATCTTGTCTCGTCAGAAGACAAATCGCCTAACAAGATCGATACTTGAGAGTGAAAGATTTTTCGGATGAACGGAGTGATATATCTCTGATATTCGAGTGAATATATCTTATGCTTAAGCCAGGTTGGTTGTCCGATATTGTTTAGCAGTATAGCAACACCTCTATTAGTTATTTAATGCCAAAATCAAAATATTTTGTACACAATTTTATACTTTCATGATAAAGCTATGTTTTTAAGATATATAGTTTGGAGATCATAAAATGTATTGTTCGTAATTTTACTATAAAAATGTAATAGTGCTGAATTAATTGTCAGTTTTTTATACAGATGTATTGTTCATTATTTACATTATTCAGACTATTGTCCTCATCTTTGTCGCCATATTTATTGCAAAATTTCGGCCGTTGTACGCTCCGGCCTTCTTCAGGTGGTTGGAATGTCGAACTGAACCGACTAGTGCGAATAATGTAATACCTCATCTCAGAAATATAGACAAATGTATTGTTGCTCATTTTATTATTAAAATGTATTGTTGATTTTTATTTTGAGATTCACTATTTGCCCATAGCTGGGATCATCCCGGTTCAGGGTGGACCTGAAAACAACAGCAGTTAAGAGGTGGTTTCATGCTCCTCACAAACTCCAATCTCTCGATCAGAAGCTTTACTGTCGAATCTAGTTTATCATCATACTTAGGACGAACAATTCTGGTGATTTTCCAGTATCTTTTTTCTGCTTAACAAAACAGTTAGGGGACCTTACCCATAATAACATAATGGACTATTGCATACGCAATAAATACTGCGCCTCAAGAGGAAGGGTGGAGTCCCTTTCGGGGAGGTAAAGTGACCCTGAATCCGTTTATACGGGTTCAAAGGGCATATTTTTGGCCGAGCCCACGGGTTCGGAGATCCCACGTTAAATCGGCCTTGTGCCACATGATGCCCTCGTGTGGGGGGGGGGTGACTAAATACCGCCCAGTCTTAAGTCGGACGACCGGCTGACCGGCTGATCGGTTGAACTC